AAACTGAAAATGACCTAAATTCATCAGGAAAGAATTGGATAAAAAAATATGATATGCTCATTCAAACAAAATTATACATAGCCACTAAATGATACTAATATGAAAAAACTTTGAAAATAACTGAGTATTCAGTTTGACAGTTTATATAAAGAATTAGGAATATATAGAGAATTAGAGAATTTGTAAGAAATTGTTATTATGTTTATATGGCTTCTTATATATCATAAAGTAAAAATGGAAAGAAAATACAACTTCTGAAGAGTGGCCACTCCTTGGTAGGGAGATAGTGAATGAGGAACCCTAATAGTTCTAGCAACATTGTTTTTTTTATTTTTCAATATAAAGTAAACATGGAAAACAGTAATGTTTGTGGAATTTGTGAGTTGGAAATCCACATATTTTTGTTATTTTCTATGCTCTTTGTATGTTTAAATGTTTTAGCCATACAAACACAATTCATATTATTTTTAATTTGAAAAATTTTAAAAGCTACAGAGAAACATTTCTACTTGGATCTTCCACAACAAAACTAGTCTCAAGCCAGGTTCAATGGCACATGCCTGTAATCCAAGCAACTCAGAAGACCAAGGCAAGAAGATCACAAGTTCAAAGGCAGCCTCAGCTTATTTCAAAATAAGAAATAAAAAGGGATGGGGCTACATCCCCAGTGGTAAAGGACCCCTGAATCCAATCCCTAGTACCGGAAAAAAACAAACAAACAAACAAAAAAAACTAATCTCAAAGCCAGTGGACTTGAAGGAAAGGGGGTGGGGAATAAATACCACCACCTGTCAAAGGGAGAAGTGACAAAGAATTTGCCACCAGAATCTGTAATCCACCACAGAAATCTTTTCAATAATGTTTCAGCCTTTTGCTTAACTATTTCCTAGGATGAAGAACTCAATATGATAAAAGAAGAGTGCATTAAAGATCTAACAAAAATGCCCCACCTCATAAACCTGGAGCCACCAATTCTAGGCTCGTTGATCTGCCACTCCTGACAGACACTGTCCTTCACAGCCTCTCAGGGATCTCAGTTACAACCTATATTTCTGAAGATTCTTCAAATGAGGGCATGCCGAGTCTGAATGACTATTTCTATTAAAGATGAAACATTCACATTTAGTAATTTTTTAAATGAAAACAAATGCATCATAGCCTTCTTCATAAATAACACCAAAGCCTACATCTGAGTTCCTCAGTGACCTAAAGGCCAGAGGGCCTTACTAACCCATTCATGAGCCCTGGCACAGAGCACCCCGCAATTTATCACCCCTTCTATCATTAAGGCTCAAAGAGACACCATCAAACAGAAAATCTCCACAAGTAACTTGATCCCTTGGTGTCCTTGTGAACAGAGCCCAGGACCCAGCTGCATTGGACTACCCTCCTGGCATCTGGGGCCCAGCCTTATCTGGGAAAGAAAGTGGCCAAAATGGAGCAGGTGACGACTATCATTGCTAGAGATATATATAAATAACTGGTTTCTTCCCCAGCAGACTTAAATAACCACATACAAAATCTAACAACATAGACCTCTCTCCACGGTGGATTGGATTGGATTTACTATTTTGGTATTATTGTTAATTTCAATAGGAGTGATAATGATTATTGTAGCTCTTCAGGTCTCATGTTCAAGTTCTTAGGATTTTTTATCAGGAGTCTGAAAGCTAAGGTTCTTATGCCAAACCAGGCCTCTATTTTATAAAATTAATTCTTGTTAAAATAGAGCCACATGCATTTGTTTGCAATACTGACCATAGTTGCTACCATCATGCTACAGTGGTAGTGAATCATATGACATAGGCAGCATAGCTCCCCAAGACTACAATATTTACCACCTGACCTGTTATGGTTTAGATATGAGATGTCCCCCAAAAGCTCATGTGTGAGACAATGCAAGAAGGTTCAGAGGTGGATTGATTGGGTTATGAAAGCTTTAACCTAATTGGTGTATTAATCCCCTGATAGTGGTAACTGTAAGCAGGGAGGGTGTGGCTGGAGGAGGTGGGTCATTGGGGTATGCCTTTGGTATATATTGTGTGAGCTGAGCTTAGTCTCTCTCTGCTTCCTAGTGCCATGGTCCCAGCCACTTTCCTCTGCCATACCCTTCTACCATGATAATCAGCCTAACATTGGGAACCAAAGAATGGAGCTGACCATCTATGGACTGAGACCTCTGAAACCACGAGACCCAGTAAATGTTTCCTCTTCTATATTGTTCTTGTCAGGTCTTTTGGTCACAGTGAAATGGCTGAGTAAAACACTGACCATTTATGGATACCAGTTGGCCAACACCTAGGTTAGAATGTCATGATTGTTGCAATTTTCTTTCAAATTGTTAACAAAAGAACCATGGTGTGTGTGTGTGTGTGTGTGTGTGTGTGTGTGTGTGTGTTTGTAAGAGAAACAGTAGAAATTTAGCAAAGTATTAATATTGGTAAATCTAAGTGGAAAATACATGAATATTCAATCTACTTTTCTTTCAACTTTTCTGCATGTTTGCAATTTTTAAAATAAAATGTCTTGAGAATAAATATTGCTTTATTTAATAACTCAGGAGAATCTCCCCTGAAAAATTGTAACTCCTGGGAAAGGTAAATCAGGAGATCAACAATAGTATATAACTAGCAATTGCAATAGGTTTAAAAATAATGGGAACAATTTCATTCACAATAGCAACAAAAAATATGAAATCTAAAGTTTAAATAAAAAGGAAATGTGGAACACTCAAAGAAATAATAAATTTTAGCAAGATCCAAAAAATAGAAGCACAAAGATTATATAATTTTTTGAGAATGTTTGGAATTAGATAGCTGGTGCATTTACAGATGTTTGACAAAATTTTAAAAAAGACAAAAGGAAGCTTTGGATAATAGGAGAAACATAATACATTTCTAAAGAAGATTCAGTGGTTCAATATTGTTAAAACATAATTATCACATGGATGCAATTCCAGTGAAAATCACTGTGAGTTCTATTGTAGAGAGAGGGGGATAGCCATAAAATAATTTAAAAATTTCCCTACCAGAAAAAATGGGTGAGATTAGCCAAGGACATTTTGAAAATGAAGAGTAATGGTAGGGCTCTTACCTTAATAGATATTGAATTTTATTTTAAAGCTATAATAATTAAGTAAGTCTGGCTCAAGAATAATAATTCATAGAAGAAAATGAAGAGATCCAGAAGTAAGTAAAAAGTAAAAATCTAATCAAGGCAGAAAGTCCAATAGAAATGGAAAGAACAGATTATATAATAAATGATATTGGAATAACTGGCTAATCATTTTGAAAAAAATAAAGTTAGAGCCCTATATCATAGCACTCTCCAAAGTGAAGGAGAATTAAATGCAGAGAAATAAAATCATAAAAGATACATGAAACAGTGCAGGTTCATATTTTTATAAGCTTGTGATGGTACAGATCTTACTGAGCGTGAAATAAATGGTAAAGAAAAAGATGAATAGATTTGGTTAATAAAAATCCCAAGCTTCTGTACATCTGAAAACAACCAAGACTAAGAAAAATACAATAACTACTGAGAAAAATATTGTCAACATAAAACAATTTTAAAAACCCATGTCTTCACTATCTAATCATTATGGAGGGATAAAGATTTTTGAATGGGCAAATACAATGAATATATAGACACTTCTCAGAAGAAACATAATAACTCCTTCCAAACTCCTGCACTCAGAGGCTACACCAAACTCTAGCCTGGCTCCTAGCCCATAAGACCATGTCCCTAGGTGACTCCAGACACTACTTAAGTGGCTGCCTGAGAAAGCTCAATACTGCCAGAGCAATCGCGTACTATTTGATCTTGCTTGTACCTAGTGACAGCCCCTGACTGCCCTTTCTTAGAGTGTTTACTAAAAGGAGCTTACAGTAGTGAATATGTGTCTCCTACAACTCAGAAGTGTCTCTCTCAAGAACTTGAGAGCCATGCCTTAGAAATGTAATCATCTGGAAGGAGAGGGCCTCGGTCTCCTCCATGGGAAGGTGGAATCCTGATTCCAGCTGCCACCTAGCAGACACAGCTGCCTAACCCAATGCTCACTGGCCCTGGCCGGCCCTTTATAATTTCTCTCTTCTCTGACTCTGTGGAGAACCTGCTCTCCACCACCCTCCTTCACCCAAACATCCACATCCCCTCTACATGAATCAGAAGGGGCTCAACTCTTTCCCCTATTGTCAGCAGTTACTGAAAAAAAAAACTGTTTTCACTGCTCTAACTAAGTCTGGCTGTGCTTATCTTTGACAATACAAGTTACAAAATAACACAACGTTGAGATTTAGCATGATTATTATTTTCAATTTTCTGCTTATCTATATTTTGTTTTCTATCCAGTAAAATATATTGCTACTCTAGGAAAAAATTAAACTCTTAAAATAGGAATCAGGAAAAAGTATACTTTCAGGTAATTCAAACTTCCTATCAGAGGGCAGTAAACCTCCTTTACCAATTGCAAAGGCTCTCAGAACGAGTAGACATGCAGGTTATGAATAAGGCCCTCCCCTAGAGGAGAGAGAGAGAGAGAGAGAGAGAGAGAGAGAGAGAGAGAGAGAGAGAGAGAAGAGCTGCTTTCAATCCTCATAAAAAGAAAAATAAATGGTGGCTCAGAGAAGTTCAGTAAGTTCCCAGGGTCATAAAGCAATAATAGTAAAGTTGGAATAGGATTCCAGGCTGGTCTGACCAGAAACCCAATTCTCTCAAAGCCCTCATTTCAGGATCCTTGGTTTGAGGTGCAGAAGACCTGAGTTCTGACCCAACCTCTATTGTATGCGACCTTGGCAATTCTCTTCCTCTGTCTGACCCTCAGTTTCCTCATCTTGCAAGAGATGGATGGGACCAAATGATGTGTCAAGTTCCTTCTTCTATTTTCATAAAGCGCCCAGTACCAACCAATGGCCAAGGTCAAATCCAAACCAGAGATCAGCCACAATGGCCTTAGAGCTAGAGCAAGAGCCACCACACAGGTGCCCCATGCAGCGGCCCACCTTGAATTCTTCGTGGATGCGTTCCTCCAGGACTTTGGCAGCCTTGCGGTCCTCCATCTCCACTTTCCACTTCTCCGCCAGGATCCGGGCCTTCTCATTGGCTAGAGCATCCCGGAACTTCTTGGTGATCTCTGCCTCCTTCTGTTTCCTTCCAAGAGAGCACCAGCAGGAATCAGCTTGAGTGAAAAACTCAAGGATCACATCTCAGTGGGAATTCAAATAAGAACAACAAACAATCTTTCCTTGGTCTAGAGAATAGCGAATATTGAACGTCAACAAAAGGTTAACATTGGCCAAGATGGGGAGAAATAGGTACTCTCACATATGGGAAGGTTAAAATCAGTAGAATCATTCTGGAAGCCAGACAAACAAGATTCAGAAAACCCATTTCTCACTCAAGTATACACAGATGTATGAAGAAGATGTTCATTGGAGAATTTTTATAACATAATAAATAACTCAAATGTCTGTCAATAGGACCAACAAGTTGTATTTCTCAAATACTATACAGTAATCTTAAATAGTTTTGTGGATTTATATTCACCAATTTGTCAAGGTGAAGACTTTACAGAGCATGTATCACCTAAATGCTCACTGTAGTTATCTTAGGTGGTATGTCATTCTATAATCTATTTAATCTGTTCCTTATAGTTTTCCGTGTTGTTTACGGGCTTCTGCAGCTTACAATTAAAATATTGTCATTCAAAATTGGTGGTGGGGAGATGTCGGAGTCAATTTCACATGGATTTCCAAGTTTGGCAAAAAAAAAAATTAATTATTTATGAGAGTCTCACTCTAACCTCACCTGGGACTCAACCGTCCATCTTGTGTGAGAAACGTGGATGATGTATAGAGGAACAGACAACAAAAGTCAATCCAAACTGCTATACTGTCCCCCTGACAATTAAGTACAGGAAAGAGCCAAAGCATGTTGTATGTACAATCAAGATGAATCCAACTACATGCACATCGGAAGGGCATTGTTAGGCTTATGTTACTGATGAGAAAACTGGGGACCCAATCAGCTAACTAGTAATTAGCAGAGCCAGGGTTTGAACCCTCAGTTTTGCCTGATGCAAGACACTGACGCTTTGGTCCCCTAATCTTAGCAGAGCTCAAAACAGCCAGTCAGATGGTACCTTTTACCTCCTACCCACAACCTGTGGCCTTTGGCTTGTACCTACCCCAAGGCTGTGTGCTCAGGTCACACCAACACCCCTCCTGCCCCAGCACCACTCACCAGAGCTCCTCGGCTTCCCTCTGTGCTTGCAGCCGCGCTCTCTCTGCAATCAGCTCCTCGGAGATCTCTTCATAAGGCTTGTCACCAGGGCCTTCACCCATGACCCAGACCCAGACCTCACCATCTTCTCCCAAGAGCCACTGGATGTGTTTGTCACTTGCTACCTCACAACAGGAGAAGGAATAAAGAAGGAAAAAGAAACATATCTGATTTCCATTCGTTAGGAAATGGCACACAACCATTACACCCCTCATAGCAGAGCAGTGTCATCTACAAATACGATTCCAGAGAGATACTGCCTAAAGGCAGGTCCAAGACCCTCTCTTCCTTCCCTCCCTCTTCCCCTAGGGAGCATCACAATAGCTAAGCCAGCCAGCAGGAGCAGGTCCCCAAGGTGTCTGTGACTGAGCTCTCCTAAAATCCTCATCAAAGAGAACATAGATAACAGTGAGGCACTTTCTGTAGGAACTGACTTATGTCACTCCTGGGCTGTGGCAGTGGGTGGTGGTGAACCTTCTCTGCAGTCTCTTCTTCCTGTCCACTAGCTAGAAAAAAAAAAGAGAGAGAGAGAGAATCAAGGATGGTAGATTGCCAGATGAAGCAGCCTGATGCTGAGTCTCTGTGAACTATATCAGACAGTAACCTGAGCAAGAAATAAACCTGTGCTAGATTCAGCCATGAAGATTTCTCAGTTTTCCTACTGCAACAGATGGCATTGATTACTATGACTAATATGGAGATCTATCTCAAAAACCAGCTGCTGCTGAAACACATATAAACTACTCATCATTGACTTTCAGTTGAGTGGTGAGTGATGTCCATTAGGCTGAATGGCTGGAGATCCATGTCATGGAAGAGCAAAATATTTGGTAAAAATGTCAGACACTGTAACTTAAAAAGCAGGCCCAGGGCTTCCTGAACTTTCATTATAAGGGAAGAGGGTGGGAAATAAAAAGTTTGTAATGTGTGTTGGTTACTAGTGGCTGCGTTTGGCAAAGTGTCAAGAAAAGGAAATGAGTCTAAAGAAGAATTCAGGGCTTTGCAAGTAAAATGAGAGAGAATAGAGACCATTTAGAAATCTGGGACTTCATAGGATTGAGAAAAACATCTCCTTTTCTTTGAGGGCTCCAACTATAAGAGATGGAACTTTTAAAGTATTTTCATGTAGAGCTGAGTCAACTTTCTAAGGTGAATACATGATTGAGGACACAAAGCTCCATGGTGGTCACAAGATTGTGCTTCACCAGCCTCCTACTACTGAGGGCATTTTATCCTCTTGCTTATAAATCTTCTAGCAACCTCAAGCATCATTTCCTCAATCTCTCAGGAAGATGCAAAGAGGGAAAGGCTTCTCCTAAGAAGTTTCATCTGTGGAGGAGAAAGCCCTTCACTGGGGCTCTTGGGTTTGTCCAAGGCCATGTTTCAGAGTCTGCTTCAGTCTCTGACTGAGCACACCAGGCTCATTCCTGAGACACACCGGACTCCTTGCCAAACTTTCTGGGACACCTCCAACCAACCTTCCTCCCTCTCTGCTTCAGTCAAGGTCAGGACTGCATTGCAGGGCAATGTCTCTCCCAGCCTCCAGCCAGCTCCTTGCCCTCTTTCTCTGACAAGCATTTTCCTTGAGGAAAAAAAAAAACAAAAACAAAAAACCGTGCATGGTGAATCCCTCCCCATTCCTGCTCCTCAGAGAAACCAGACTAACCCAAGTACATTGAGTGCCAACTCTCACAACTGTTTTACAAAGAACTTCAATGTAGATGCCTGCAGATGACAGTGAGACATGTAGGGGTCCAGGGGCAAAGAAATAAAGTCAACTGTAGAAAATGACTAGTAAAAATTTTAGATATTGTTCCTGGGACATGGAAGCCAACAGACGAGAAGCCTTTTGAGTTTTGGAGTATAGACTAGAAAGCCTTTGATTGTTCAAGACTCAAACAACTCTTGGGTGCCAACTTTAGTGAGCTGGAGGCGGGTTTCAAGATCATGCTGATCTGGGGAGGGTGTGGTCCTCAACACTCACTCCAGAAGAGGTCGAGGTCAAAAATCAAGGAGAAAAAGCTTCCTCAAGGGGGTCAAGTCCATTCAAGGAATTCCTTCATGGCTAAGGCAGGGGAACTCTCAGAGCCCAGCCTGCAGGACTCAAGGATGCTATAGACTAGGGAAAACAGGTCTCACACTCTCTCCTTTCCCAAATGGCAGTATGCCTAGAGATATTCTGGCCTTGTCTAGTGCTGTATGTTGGTCTTAAGGGTGAGAGGTATTCAGGTGACATATCTATTTAGCACATTTGGACTTTATAGAGATAAATGTGGGGCCTCGGACCCTGTGGACTTCCAGGTGGATGCAGTGACTGGAATCCCTTTAAGAAGGTGGTGAGTGTATAAATGCTCAGAATGGCAATCAATGACAGTGACCATGCTAGATCCACCCTGCATTCCTTTTCTCTAGTCCACCAAGGACCACATTCCTCAGCTTTCCTTCAGTCCTGTGGGACCCTACAGCTGACTTCTAGTCTGTGGATTGTCAGGGGAAGTGACTGGTCTCACTTCCAGGCTGAGGTGATCAGCAGCTTCTGTCTTTTCTGCATTTTCTCCCTTGTCCACCCAGCTGGAAATAAATGACTCTAAGATGATAGAATTTCGAGAAAAAAAAATCATCCTGATCCATGAGTCAATGTCTAAAGCAAAATCACACAGAGGAGCTGCTGAACCCACACCCAACCAATGCAGTCAAGAAATAAGCCTTCATTGTGTAAATGTACTGAAATGTCAGGGTTTATCAATTGCACAAGGCACATTAATCCCCCTAATATAGAAGGGCACTGTTATATTTTTAGTACATTAAGGGCAATATAGTAATCGAGAACTAGGTATAATTCAGAGAGGCCATCACTACTAGAATTATAAAACTTTCAAAGAAATAATGAAGAAAAGTAAATGACTAGTGACATCCCCATCCTGTCACAGTAAGTAAAGGGAACAGAGAAAGAACAAAATACGTGTAACTATCACAGCCAATGCTATCAATTGCCTCCACGCCATCCACCCCAGCCCACCATCCTCCCTCACCACAGAACCCCAAGTTGTTCAGGGAGCAGCAGAGACACTCCCCTGCAGGAAAGGTGAGTTTCCAGCCCAGCCTCAAAGGACAAATAACAATGGATCTAAACCCATCATGTAATGTTATTCTCATTGGCAAGTGATGGATCTAAGAGTGACAAGATCCCCATTTCTAAAAAAGTAGATACTGGTAGAAGCCCCAGTGAAGGGCTTTCTCCTCCACAGGATGAAACTTCTTAGGAGAAGCCTTTCCCTCTTTGCATCTTCCTGAGAGACTGAGGAAATGATGCTTGAGGTTGCTAGAAGATTTATAAGCATGAGGATAAAATCACAGGCTGAGCAGAAAGATAGACCAGGATGTGCCCCTGGAAATCTTGAACAACTAAATAAATCACCCATTTCAGGACATCTTCAGACTTTTTGTCCTTTGAGAAAAACAAGAAACCTCAAGAAATAAAATTCTGCAGTTATTAAACAAAATAAGGCAACCCAGACATGGAAGTCCAATTTAATAGACATTTGTTTAATTAAGCAACTATTAGTTGCGTGTTCTGTTAGTTCTAGTCAAAGATATCTGCAGCCGATACAGAAAATTATGCAAAGACAATGAACCCTTAATATGTCCATTAACACAATAAACGTAGGCAGAAAGAATTCTATTAAAAATCTGAGACTATTGAATTGATTAAAAAATAAATCCAGCTATGTGCTACTTAAAGAAAACCCACTTAAAAAAAAAAAAAAGAAAAGGTTAAAAATAGAGGCAACAACAGACCGTGCAAAGGCAAGCAAAAAGAAAGCAGAAGTGTCAATGTCAAACAAAGCAAAATTCAAGGACAAATGTGTAAACAAGACATAGAAGAATATTGTGTGATAATAAAAGTTGCAACCCGCCAAGAAGATATAACAGTCATAAAACTTTATACAACAAGCAACATAACAGCCAACTGCATAAAAGAAAAACACCAAAAATACAAGAAGAATTTGAAAATGTGTATAAACTCCTGGTGGGCACTTACTACATCTGTTTCAGAAGTCAGTGGGTCAAACAGATTTTTTAAAGTAATGATATATAGGACTTGAATGATTCAATTTTATTTAATAATTACAGAATTTTTTTTTCTTCTTTTGATACCAGAGACTGAACCCATTGGTGCTTTACCACTAAACTATATCCTTTTTATTTTGACACAGGGTCTCACTAAGTTTCTTAGGGCCTTGCTAAATTGGGAGGCTGGCTTCAAACTTGCAATCTTCCTGCCTCAGCCTCCAGAGCTGCTGGAATTACAGGCATGTGCCACAATGCCCAACAGAACTTTATTTCTTAAACACTGAGCATATACTTTTCTTTTGCTCTTATAGTTATGAGAAAATTTTTATAGGCCATATTCCCTAATAATAATACCCCAAATTAGAAGACAGTGGGGGGAAATAGTCATAAAAAATTTTAACTGTTCTATAATCTAGAAAATATCTCCCAGATAACCCTTGAGTCTTTAAGGAAATCAACGTTGAAAAGACACATTATTTGGGGTGGGGGGAATTCAGCAAGAAATATGCAAGAAATGTGCATATGCACACATCTCATAGTAAGCTCAGAAGAAAACTTGCAGGTTTAAAGGCTTTTCTTTTTGATGTTCCTATAAAGATATTCCTCTCTTCTCCAAACACATCGTAATGCATACAAAACAACAAGGGATACAAGAAATACCTCTACGGCATCTCTACCGAACAGAAGCGTGAAACTGTGGGAGATAGGAGCCTCCAGCCTGCTGGACTCCATCTGGGTCCCAAAGAATAACATGACTCCTGCAGGGTAAAGGGGCATAAGTATTCTCCAGGCAATACAGGAACCTAACTAAAGAGGAGTGTAATGAAGCCAGATGCTGGTAATGGGAGCCGCAGGTAGAGTGGACAGAGGTTATATGGTAGATGTACATGGTAGAATACTATTCGGCTTGAAGAAGAAGGAAATATTATCATCTGCAACAATGTGGATAACTGGGAGAACACAGACAAGTTCCACATGAAACCCCTGATATGTGGAGTGTGAAAATGGTTACCAAGGACTGGAGGCAAGGAGATTGGGGAGATGTTG